CATCATATGTATTAATAATTAAATCATTATCATCATCATTTCATCATCATTCATATCTGATAATTTATGCAAGCGTTATTGGGAGATAAAAAAAAGGATCTCATATGCATGAGATTTTGGTATGCACTATTGAAGAAGATGAGTACTTTTTTGTTGTGTGACGGACAGACTGAATATGAAGCTTTATAAGTTTTGTTATTATTTGACTGAAATTAAACTAGTTTTGAAATAAGCAAATTTTAATGAGGCTCAGTCTAAATTGACCCCCCCCCCCCTGCTTAACACTGTCTTGAGAACAATTTCCACAATACCTTATCAACCACAAACAAATCTACCAAAAAAGCACAACAATTTCTTTCTCAAACTCATTCCAAAATACACAAAAAAAAATATGCAGATTGAATGCCTTTTACTAGCCGCTAATTTATGGCCAATATAATAATATTTTTCCTCTTCTTCATATTTTTAATGAACTACCAAACGAGAGAGGAAAAAAAAAGTTAATTAATGCGTAATCGAGTGAAAAACTTTGATGAAGAGGAAAAAAATAATTGAAAGGCGGGTGGTTGGTGAATGAAAAATAACAATGATTAAAATATGTGGGAAGAAAGTTTCACTTAAAGTGACTAAATGGGCTTGTGGGAGTGCGATCAAAGCTATAAATTGTTGAATACTCAATTGCGTGAGGTCAAATTTAATTACATTTCGGTCAATTTTGTTTTAATTTTTCTTTGCTGTTCATTTCTCAAAGAAGGGGGGCATTCGAAAATGAGGTTTGTTATATGTTGGAAGTTCTTCAACCCATTCGAGGCTCTACAATTAAAGCCGACCTTAAACCTCCTAGTTCATCCTTCTCTTGTTCTTTAATCGAAAAATTCTCACTTCATTAACAGCCATCCCCTCTCCCCCTCCCCCCGTGACATCATTATCGAATGGTCCTCTTATAAAAGAATTATTGTAATGACGAAAAATATTATTTAATGTTATACGGAAATTAGCTGCTCTATAAATCTTTTTCTCCAAGGATCATCAATAAATGATGTCAAACTCTTATTTATATATCGTAGATAATGTTATAAACTTTCAAAAATATATATATTTTGGATGCAAATTTTCTTTGGTCCAAAGATCTTAGTTTCTGATAGACATTAATTATGAACAATCCCTAACCACAAAGGTCAATTTAAATAAAATAGGATTTCCTTATTTTCATTTATTACCATCTGGTTATGGAGTGGGTCAGAAAAATATTCGGGAACAAAATTAATGAGTTTTCATGAATATTTTATTGTGACAAAAAATGTCCAACTGATTCCATACATAATGAATATCCATGACGACTGTAACTGATGGAGGTTGTTGGTCAAATTGATGAAATCATATGAATTACTTTTGGAATGTCTTTTACTAGAATGTGATAAAGGTTGACATTAAGTAAAAACGTGTGTTATGTAATTTTATTTTCTGGATTGTAAAGTATTAAAATTGCAACATGACATCAAAAATCATGTTACTGCTGACCATCAAAATGGTGTCATTAATGATTTATGTTTTTGGAATGAGATGCAATGATGAACTGAATGTCAAAAATAAATACCCCCAACCCCCCTTTGTCCCATCTTTCTAGTAATAGAAAGTATGTAGTCAACCAAGCTTAAGCTTTAGGTGCGTGGCCAAGGGGAATTTGGGTGTCAAATCTTCCTCCGTTAACAGAAATTTCTGAATTTTTATAGATTTTTATAAAAAATTCCCAAAACCCAAATTTTTCGTATAAACTTTTTTGCATCGTATAAACTTTTTCTCTACAGAACAACTCATCTGCAGTCTAGACATCAGTTTCAATGAATGAAATTACTATCACAGAACGAAACAGACATATGGACTGAAAGAGATTTTTTCTCAAAAATTTATTAACATAGTTGTTTGCTGATACTAGATATGCTGGATTAGAAATTACATTTTTAAAAAAGGAATTAATTCTGGATTTCAATCAGTATTCTGAGAAATTGATTCAGTACTTGTTAAAACTTTTGATTCGTACATTTATGGATGTCTAGGGGATTGCTTCAAATGCTGTATAATAAAGTTGATTTAAATGTAAATGTCGGTGACTAGCTCATGTATCAGGTCAAGTCATTTTCAATATACTGGCAATTATGCGACTAAGATAAGGGTCAATTCACTTATTAAATATCCCAAAAAAACTGGATATTTTAAACCCCTCCCCCAGTTGCAAGCTTTCTATGAATCTAGCCCTCAGCTAGAAATAAAATCGAAAAAATCCAATTTTGCAGTGAAAAATCAATTTTTTTTTTCATTTTAATTGCACTTTATTGCATTTATTGACGACATACTGTCCGGTAATAATTCACATTTTACACTTTTGTATTTGTATACATACGTATAATGTAGGATCAAACTTCTAGTCTTCAAATCTAGGTTTCAAAGAAACTAAGACTCTCGTTTCAATCTTCTGTGGGCGTGTCGTGATACTTTTCAGGTCCGTTCTAACAATATTCCATTCGTGGGTAATCTTGTAGTTCTTGTTCCTATTTCTCTCGCTACACTTCAAGTTCCTGACCCGTTCTTTAATCCAACGTTGCCCAAATGCCCAATTATGGCTTGATCTCGTACATTAAGTAGTCGAGGTATCTAAACTTCCGAAAAAGAACAAATTTGGAAATGACTGGATTTGAACCGACGACCTTCGAGTTACCATCCCAAATTTGAGCCAAGCGCCTTACCTATTCGACCAGCAAGGCACTTAACTGCAATCCAGAGTTATCCTACAGTTGCACCTCTCCAGCAACACCAACAAAATAAATGTACAGCACATTGTAAAAACATCAAGTTTATTCAATAAATTTCCAATTTTCACAATTAAATTTCCTCAGTTAGTTCTCAAACTTAAATGACATTCCGTTCCATATATTTGTGACAAAAAAAAAATTCTCCATGCCAACACAATAGTTGAGTTCCTTCACAACTTTAGTTCATTTTCTTTTCCATTTCACTAAGTGGAAATCATGATAAGCAAGAAGAAAAAAAACTAAGGAACTATATTATTTTAAACAGCAAGAAAAAAAAAGGCAAGAGTGCATAAAAAGAGAGAGTATCGAAACCCATCATTGCGACAAAAACTTGAGGAAAGGCGAAAAAAATGCCATCAATGGAAGAGAAGAAAAAAAAACTTTCATGAGAAAAGTTTTGATGAAATTTTTCTTCGCATTGGTTTTTCGATCTATAAAATATACTGAAAAGTTATAGAACAGCATTAAAAGGAGAAGGAAGAAGGAAAAAATGCAATTTCTTTGACAATTAACGAAAAGTTGTAATGAGAAACTGAAAAACTTTGAACTTTTTTTTTTCTTGCTCCTTTAAAATGTTGAAATAAAAATAAAGTTTCTTGCTGTTTCATTTCCATTTCATCGATGTCGCTGTGAGAATTGTTTTCCTGCTTATTGCAACATGCATGTTGGGGGGTTGTATGCTAATGATAGGAAACATTATTAGAAATACTCAAGGAATGGAGAGGGAGCTGGAACTGTACGGCACATTATAAACTTTTTGGTTCATTCAGGCAAGGATTCGCTATGTTTTTGAGCCTAAGGGGGGGGGGGGGGGGGGGGGTACACCTTTCCGACTCATTATTCCTATGACTAGCATGTCCTTTTTTGAGGAGGGTTGAAACTCATTAAAGCCGCCTCTCAATTGACTCCATTTTGAAGTAGCTTAAAATCGCATCCTTAACATCACATCATTATGGTATGACTCCCCACATAAATGTATGTATTTAAGTTTACAGGAAGTAAATTGTCGCTTTACCAGAATGTAATTAATTGAGAAAATTAAAAATGCATGTGAAAAATGAGAGAGCAAAAAAAAGGAACAAATGTGAAGAAAAAGTTTCTGGTTGCTGAATGCACGAGTTACTTGGAATATTATACAAGATTCAATGAGAAAGAAAAATGTTAATCGTGATTACTTTTTCTGATCTTAACTGCAGCTATAGAAATAAAGTTTTGATTTTTTAATTAAACTTTTTCACATTAATCTGATGGTATTTAGTTATAGCTTGAATATCAACAAAGACATTAAGGTTTAATGCTAAATCTTGTAACTTTTTTCTGAACTTTGAATGATTGTTTTTTTTGTGAATATGATCTGGTTGCATATTTAATTTGGGAGGTGAAATGAATAGACCAGTGTTGTTCAAACTGTGTGCCGTGACACACTGGTGCTTCGTAGGACATCGTTAGGAGTGCCGTGAAAAATATCTGGGAATAGACTGTCCAACTGCGCACTTTTGCACGGGACTGTCCCGCTTTTTTGGAACTTAAATCTAGTCTGTTCAGCTTTTTCAGAACTGAGATCGAGACATGTCCCGCTTTTTAACCAAAAATGGGTACAATCAAATAGATAGCCTAGAAATCAATGTCTTAGAGAGTCGTACAGAGTAGTGGCCACTCTTAGTCGTCTAATTAAACTAGCATTATCGTTGAATAGGATCTGCCAACACTATCTTTATCCACAGCCTCATTCCATGAGTTCCTTGATCTTCGATGCGATCTGTTTCCATCTACAAATTCAGACTTCAAGATGTTCAAATATGATTTAATGGGTGTCAGGTTAGGGGTCGTTCATTTATGACGTCCGAAATTAACGGTCATTTTTTAAAAAAGAAAATGGATTTCCAGGAATTTCTATTGTTCTTTTCTAGCTGACCCCCCCCCCCTCCCTCTGGACGTCATAAGTGAACAGCCCCTTATCAATTTTAATGATGAATTGTATGATCAATTATCAATTTTTTCCAGCAAAACATCGTCAAACAATATCAACTCTTACAAAATATGAGCGTTGTTAGACAAGAAAATATGATCATAAAAAGTTTAAACTCTCTTGCTCTCAAATGAGCGTTTTTTCACATTCTCGATCAGTTGTCATCGAAGACTCATTAGAGTCGTTAGCAAATTTAAATTTCTCCGTCGATTAGTCTGAAAATGAAGTTTGCATTTAAAATTGTGTTTATTTGTGCGAGTTTAAGTACCGCGATTGGGCAGTTTTGGCCAAATATATTTTCTGGTTCATATCCAAGTTCCTACCCTAATTCATATCCGGATTCGTATCACAGCTCATACCCGAATTCATACCCTAATTCATATCCAAATCGGAATAGTGAAAATTCAATAACTCAAGAATCTGCTCAACCAACTTCCTTGTCCTTAAATTCTTGTGAAAGCTATTGGACATTACAAAATGATGGAAATGGAGTTTGGGGTCAGCTGTCCATCACTAGTCCAAATAGAGAACAAGCAATAATTAAAGTTGTTCTTACACTAGCAGCTGCTTTACCAACAGTAAGTAACTGACCTTTTAATATCAATTGTGGAGAATATTTTGGCGCGCATTTTGACTTTTGATGAATCTGTTGCACTATGGGCCAGAAATGGAAAATTTTTCCAAAAATTATTTCTACAGCTTATATGATAGTCCTTATTCTGTCCTACATTTACGTCCTTAAAACTTTGCCTAAGTCGACAGCATGTCCGAGATATGGCACTTCAAAGTTGGTCAGACGACCATTTTCACGTTACATTGAAAATGCTCTCACCAGTCACTGGATGGATGAATCTCCTTCAATTTTTTTTTGGTAATAGCTTTAAATAGTTCCTTCATTTTAAGGTATAAACAGTTGCAAAAAACTTTGGAAAATTTTGTGAAAAACTTGATTTTTCTCAAAAACCACGTGTTCGTCATACTTCCGTTTGTGTAGGTCTTCACAAGCACAACCAAAGTTACTAATTTCTTTTTTATATTAAAGATTACATCAAAAGCTATAACTTTTGCATAAATGTCGTATAATTTTAACAAAGTTTTGGTAGTGAAAAAAATTTTTTTTATAAAAAAAACACCAATTTTTTGACAAAAATCGCTGTAGTGCTCCAGGGATACCCATGGTAGTGGAATTTTATTTCACATTTAGAAAGCTCTCTGGATATGCTATCAATTAATGCAGTAAAATGAACAAGTGTTCTCTTGGCAAAGAGCACTTTTTTGACTCTGAAAGTCGTATGTCGAGCAAGGTCAAAAAAGAAAAATAATCATAAAAATTTCAGTTTTAAGTAAAATTTAATTTTTTTAAGTTAGATTGATAGATCTTTTTAAAACGCGTCTTTTGAGTATAAATATGTCATAGTTTTGTCAAGTTTCATGATCAGTTTTTTAAAAAAATAGTTTTTTTCAAAAAAAAACTTGAAAAATAAAGTATTTGACTTTAGAATTTCATAAAATGCATTCTTTTTAACATTTTTTTCACTATTTTGTCTAGTTTTGCTCCTCGTTTTTTCCTAAACATAAATCAATAAGAACTTAACATAATTGAAGCCATTTGGAGGTTAAATTGAGTTAAAAATCGTTTAAAATTTTTGTATTTCTTAAATAGTTCTTTACACAAGTATCTAAGATATAAAGTGTTGCATAGTTTTGAAAAGGTATTAAAATTTCCAATATGTTAACATGAAAATTTTAGGAAAATTTTCAAGTAATATAGTCAATTTGGGTAAAAAACGCATTTTATATATGCTAGTTTTTAATGTTTTTCGTTTTTCTCAGCAAAGACTTTATGAAAAACTCTCAAAGTTTGCACACTTATTTGTTATATAAATGTTAATGACTCGTATAAGTTTTGGAATTTTCTATTGAGTTTTTCATGAGTTCTCCAAATCTGAAATTTTCAATATTAAAAATCCTTTTTTCTCAATAATTCCGATTTTTTATTTATAAATAAATATCTTATTTTGTTTCATTTTTCAATATCTTTTCATTGATATGTAACAATCTACGAAAAAAATAAGACTAGCGAGAAATCAATAAAAAAAGTGTCAAAAATTTATGAAAATTCTACGCTATTTTAATTTTTTATCCTTTTCTGGTTAATTTTATTAAGTTTTGTAAGAGTGTTATACCTTTTTGCAAATTTATAGCTTAAGACTTTCATCTGCTTTCATCCACTAAAATTCGTATGAGTCAACGATAAGCACAACTGAAGTTAAATAAGCTTCACGTTGGCGACAAAAGACAGTTCCATATGAAGAAAACCAGATATTAATTTTAATGCTATTTGAGCTATAATATTAAACTTTTTCATTTAGTTTTGTTATAAATGTTTCATGTATTTAATAGCAGCCTGAAGATTTAATTTAAAGCTTTTAAATAATTTGATTTTAAAAAATTCAAAATTTTTGGTTGCGCCAACGTGAAGCTTATTTAACTTCAGTTGTGCTTATCGTTGACTCATACGAATTTTAATGGATGAAAGCAGATGAAAGTCTTAAGCTATAAATTTGCAAAAAGGTATAACACTCTTACAAAACTTAATAAAATTAACCAGAAAATGCTAAAAAATTAAAATAGCGTAGAATTTTCATAAATTTTTGACACTTTTTTTATTGATTTCTCGCTAGTCTTATTTTTTTCGTAGATTGTTACATATCAATGAAAAGATATTGAAAAATGAAACAAAATAAGATATTTATTTATAAATAAAAAATCGGAATTATTGAGAAAAAAGGATTTTTAATATTGAAAATTTCAGATTTGGAGAACTCATGAAAAACTCAATAGAAAATTCCAAAACTTATACGAGTCATTAACATTTATATAACAAATAAGTGTGCAAACTTTGAGAGTTTTTCATAAAGTCTTTGCTGAGAAAAACGAAAAACATTAAAAACTAGCATATATAAAATGCGTTTTTTACCCAAATTGACTATATTACTTGAAAATTTTCCTAAAATTTTCATGTTAACATATTGGAAATTTTAATACCTTTTCAAAACTATGCAACACTTTATATCTTAGATACTTGTGTAAAGAACTATTTAAGAAATACAAAAATTTTAAACGATTTTTAACTCAATTTAACCTCCAAATGGCTTCAATTATGTTAAGTTCTTATTGATTTATGTTTAGGAAAAAACGAGGAGCAAAACTAGACAAAATAGTGAAAAAAATGTTAAAAAGAATGCATTTTATGAAATTCTAAAGTCAAATACTTTATTTTTCAAGTTTTTTTTTGAAAAAAACTATTTTTTTAAAAAACTGATCATGAAACTTGACAAAACTATGACATATTTATACTCAAAAGACGCGTTTTAAAAAGATCTATCAATCTAACTTAAAAAAATTAAATTTTACTTAAAACTGAAATTTTTATGATTATTTTTCTTTTTTGACCTTGCTCGACATACGACTTTCAGAGTCAAAAAAGTGCTCTTTGCCAAGAGAACACTTGTTCATTTTACTGCATTAATTGATAGCATATCCAGAGAGCTTTCTAAATGTGAAATAAAATTCCACTACCATGGGTATCCCTGGAGCACTACAGCGATTTTTGTCAAAAAATTGGTGTTTTTTTTATAAAAAAAATTTTTTTCACTACCAAAACTTTGTTAAAATTATACGACATGTATGCAAAAGTTATAGCTTTTGATGTAATCTTTAACATAAAAAAGAAATTAGTAACTTTGGTTGTGCTTGTGAAGACCTACACAAACGGAAGTATGACGAACACGTGGTTTTTGAGAAAAATCAAGTTTTTCACAAAATTTTCCAAAGTTTTTTGCAATTGTTTATACCTTAAAATGAAGGAACTATTTAAAGCTATTACCAAAAAAAAAATTGAAGGAGATTCATCCATCCAGTGACTGGTGAGAGCATTTTCAATGTAACGTGAAAATGGTCGTCTGACCAACTTTGAAGTGCCATATCTCGGACACGCTGTCGACTTGGGCAAAGTTTTAAGAACGTAAATGTAGGGCAGAATAAGGACTATCATATAAGCTGTAGAAATAATTTTTGGAAAAATTTTCCATTTCTGGCCCATAGTGTGTTGATGATTTTAGTGAACTTAAAAGTCATTCAGGAAGATTAAACAGGTTGAAATTTGATAAACAACCCGAAAAATGAAAGACAATTGCGATTTAATATTTAAATACTTAAAAATTCCAAGTTTTGCCCGGTTTCCTCAGAAATGCATTTAACAACATTCCCAAATCTAAATGTAGATCAAGATTTGACGAGAAAGTTGACTCATCTTGGAAATAATCTTAACATAAACACGATCATTTTGTTGAGTCAAAAGAGAATCCAAGAACTGGTCGAAGAGATAATTCAACATCTGATTCACGCAAAACAACTTGTTTGACGACACAAAAATTCAATAGCATGTGGAAATCCCCGCACAATCTACACTTTCTATATGTTTTTTTAATAAAAATATATTGTGTTCCACTACAATTCAATTAATTGCTTTATATTCTTAGTAGTTGGAGGCACTTTTTAAAAATTGTTTGAGAATAAGAAGGAGGTGGGGGAAGGTGGGGGGATGGGGTGGGGGATGGGGGGATGGGGGGGGGGGGGTTAATGCTGATGTAGAATTGATTGACTTGTCCGAATTTTAAACTTTTGGGGACTTTGAGATTTCGAGTTTCGATTTTTGATCGAACCAAGAATCTGACCCCTAAAGCCCCCTAGATACGCCTCTAATTACAGAGAATTAATTGTAATATTCTATAAACTAGTTTGTGCATTGTGTGGGTCGAAACAAAAAATTAAATTTCAATATTACGAAGCTTCTTATAATTTAAAAATAATCAATTTACAGTTGTTGATAAGAAACAAGATTTAGACTACAAAAAAACTAATGAGAGCTTAACGCTTAATGTCTTGTTTCTCTCAATTATGAGAGTAAATATTCAAAATTGCATTTTTCGTGCCTCTCTGTTATTGTTTTAAGTCAGTTGTCTCTCAAATCTCCCGAGAGAGAATCTTAAGCATAAAAACTAAGCTTAATAAAATATTCTTTTATTTTAGCGCTATGTCGGTGACATTGACTTACTTAAAAGCAAAGAAAGCACATCAGATGACGTAGCAAATGGACTTCCAATTGAATATCGAGTTAGATTCCCACTACAACATCCAATACCAAAATTAACTGAAATTTATTACAATAATCAACTCCTGTGTAGAGGACAGAAAGCTGTTGGTGATGTAGTCACAACAATCACTCTTGATCATTCATTCTTAACTGGACTAAGCAGTAATAATTTCTATGGAAATCCAAACACATATCCAGTGCGACCTACTCGACTACCAATCACTGAACCACCAATTATACGTCCTACAATTACTCAATCACCAGTGACTTACAGACCTGTTACATATCCTCCAGAAACTTTCCGACCAAAAACTCAAAAGCCATCCACAAGATCACCTCCAATTATTACTAGACCAACAGAGAGACCGACTTCTATTGATGAAAAATTAGGCATCCTTAATTCTCAATGCGGTGATCCACAAGTTAATCTAAGAAACGTTACGAGTTTAATTGTGAATGGAAGAATGGCACTAAGAGGTCAGTTCCCATGGCTGGCTGCTTATTACCACAATGATGAAGGATTTAATGGATACATTTGTGGAGGTTCTTTAGTGTCTCAAAAAATTGTCATCACTGCTGCTCATTGTATTAATGATAAGTCAGAGCCTTCATTTGTTAGAAAACCAGACCAAGCTATAATTTATCTAGGCAGATATAACTTAAGAAGTGATGCTGAACGAGGTTATTTATTTTCTGGCGTGACTAAATTCATCATGCATGCTGACTGGAATCCAAGAGTTGACTCATATGATGGTGACATTGCTGCTATTGTCTTGCTCAGAACTATTCAATTTACAAACTTAATTCAACCAATATGTCTATGGGATTCGACAAATAGCTACGCAGATATAATTGATCATAAAGGAGTTGTGGCGGGATATGGAAAGACACAAACATCGGTTGCAGAGAGTAGTATTCCATATTGGAGTGAACTTCCTGTGGTTGATGAAAGAACTTGCTTTGAATCAAACAATGTTTTTCTTACAATGACATCGAGGAGGACTTTTTGTGGTGGAAACAAAGATGGAACGTGAGTATTCAAATTTACTTTACTAAATGGTGCATAAGTCCTGTAGCATCTTAAGCAAGTAGTATCCTAATCAAAAGCGGTATCCAAATCTAGTAGTGTACTTACCTGGTAGTATCCTAACCTAGTAGTTTTCCAAACTAGTAGTATCGCAAACTCGTAGTTTCCAAAGCTAGTAGGATCCCAAGCTAGTAGGATCCCAATTAAGTAGTATCTGAACTCAGTAGTATCCAAACCTAATAGTATCTCAAGATAGTAGTATCCCAAGCTAGGAGTGTCCCAAGCTAGGAGTATAACACACAAAAGGAGTATCCACATCCAGTAGCATCCCAAGCTAGTACGTACCTAATAGTATCCAAACCCAGTTGTATCCAATACAAGTAGTATTCAAACCTAGTAGTGCACAAACCTAGTAGTATATCAACCAAGTTTTATTCAAACCTAGTAAAAAAACTTACTAAAATAATTTTTTTTATAGTGGTCCATGCAATGGTGATTCTGGCGGTGCTTTCATTGTTCAATCGGGAAGTAAATATTACCTTCGAGGAATCGTCTCAGCCGCATTGTTTAGTCAAGAAAAGTTTATGTGTGATACAAGTAATTATGCAGTTTTTACAGACGTCGCAGCTTTTAAAGATTGGATATACATACACATCGGAACTTATGGATAAAAGCTAGATGAGATTATGAAAGGATGCTATGTTTAAAAATGTTAATGTTAAACTTAGAATTTAATAAAATTAAAGATAAATCATGATGCTTTGAGTTTTGGATTGTGCTTTTCAGGTTTTATCAAAATTAATTTACTTTCCAGGAAGGTTGAATTAAGGGAATATTGATCTGATATTTCAAGATTCTTGTATGTTTTAGTATTCAATTTTTCATAAGAATTGAAAGCTTTTAAATTCAAGAAGCTTTTTTGCAAAAAAGTTTCTTATTCTCTCTGAAACTTGTACAATAATATTGTACAAGGACGTCTTTCAAGTTTTACTGAATTGAATGCTTTTGATGATAAAGTATGAAAATATTAGGTAGCTTGCAAGTAAAATCCATTCCCACGATGAATTTAGAATAACAACTAATTTATGGCATTTGACCATGAGTCCTAATTACGCACTATAAAAGACAGAAGAATATTCTGAATGATTTCTGTGTTTGAATCCCACGAAGAACCTTTTGTAAAGTAATAAAGCTGATTTCACTGATAGATGTCAATCATTTAAACTGCAGAAAAGTACTTCCTACACAGAATGATGCAGTTCACATTCAAGAATTAAAAGGGAGCACATTTAGTTCTATAAAAATAATTCTATAAGATACTTATCAACTTCTGTGAATTTCCCAAATTTTTCTCTTTGACAATTCATTCCTTAATGAACAAGTTACGTCCAATTTCTAAAAATAAATCACTTCTATAAAATCAAAGCCACTCCAAAAATCATTTTCCTCACTCAAAAGAACCGTTCCAGAAAACTTTTACACCATTAAATGAGCAGTCGATAATGAAAATTCTCTTTCTCAACTAGACGACAAGAAAACAAAATGTTCATAAAATGAACTACTTAAGCAGTATCATTAGCGACGAGGAAAAAATTAAAAAGTGTATGAACAGACTCTCGTCAAAGGTTAACAACATGATTTAATAAAAGTCTCAGTTTTTCTGTCTTAATTCCACTTGAAAAAGTTTTTTAAGTTGAAGGTGAATTTTTTTCTATGCTGAACAATATTTATGTTCATGTAATGAATCGTGTCATTTTAAAAGGATGCTTTCAAATGGAATTTTTCACAAACTTTTTTGAGAATTTTTATGATTTTTATTAAGTGTGAGATAAAAATAAGTTTTAATGAATTTCGGCAATTACTGTTCACGATTAATGTTGATGTGGGCCAGCTCCCTCTATGTGCGGTGGAATGGCATCATTGGCTCAAGTTGTAGAGTGTTTGCCTTTTGTGCCGAAGGCCCTAGGTTAAATCTCAGGGAACTGGAAATTGAGAAGCTCTTTTTTGATTTAAATTTTTTGGTTACAAAGCTCAGTTCGTGTTTGGTGTAAGTTTTAGGTTTTTGGCACATAATATGTCAAATTCTCAATAATTAGACATACTAGCATTAAGATGACTTTATTATAGCATCTTGTGCCATGAATTGTGACTAAATAAATTGCAATTTATTGTCTTTGTATGAAATCCAAGTCTTTGGAATTTGCACAGATTGCAAATGGTTCGGATTCAGCGATAAACTGTAGGCCTTAAGGGTGTGGAACAATAGATTCTGTCCAAACTAAATTGAACTGTCACAAGCTTGAAAGACTGTGCTTATTCCATGATTTATTTTTAACCCCATCGATTCAGAACTTATTTACTTACTTTGCTGGCCACACAAATCAATTGTGATCCATGGCATCTCTTAGATGACGCCTGAAGCTGGCTCTATCGCTGGCTCCCGTTTGCCAATTAACTATAACAAATGCAATACTGTCTCTGTCAACAGCGATCCAGAACTATTGCAGGCTTACCTTCCTTTGTTGCACAAAACTAGCACTCTTTTCTCTAGACCTTGTTCAATTTTATAATAAGATTCCATTTTTGTATGGCTGAGGTATAGAAAAAAGGTAGGTTTGTGGTCAAAATCGACCCTTCAACACTTTGGCGACATTATTAAAGCTAGTAAAGTTTTAATATTAAAGCTAGTATGGCTTAAATAAATACAGTTTATTTCAATCAAAAATAGCAATTGTGACATTATCCAGACACAGAAATCACTTTTATTAGACATAATCTCCTTAAAATTTACCAATTACAGTTGCTAACATTGACACTGGTTTAAAACTCTTTTTATGCAGATGTTCAAAGAAAATTTTAATTAATAAATCAGAAGTTTCTACAGAAAATCTTTTCGAAAATGAAAAGCTAATGTAAATTTCCAAATTGCTCATTAAAACTTGATATAAAATTTCTTTGTGCATGAAAAAAAGTCTGTCATGCGTCCGTAACATCTTAATATTATGAATTCTAATTAGTTTAACAGCACACAAATTAACAACTTTAAATGATACTTTATTGTGATAAAAAAAAGGAATCTTTTAGAAGTTTCAAGTCACCTTGACAGAACATAAGCGTGTCTTAACAAAGAAAGGTGAAAATTCTCATTTGTCACAGCCATGCCTTCAACATTCCCACACTCACTCTCAGCATCTTCTTTCCAGCATAACACTAAGGATAGAAGAGTATTTTGTATTTATAAAAATAAAACACATTTTTTTTGTGTGTGTGTTTTTTTCTTTCACCAGAATAGGCAGACATAACAGAATAGAATAGAATAAATGAATATTTAAGACAGATGGCAAATGGAAAGGTAAAAGTTGAAAGCAGAGCATGATGAGATGACACATTTTTTTGTGTCACATCGAGACAATCTCCTTTTTTCTGCCTCGCAAAACTTTATAACCTCTTTTTTTTGTGTGTTTCTTCTGCTGCTGATATTTTATCATTTATAGGAGATTAATCAGCACATTTTTTTGTTGGAACTGTAGTTTTGGGAAGTTTAAATTGGGTATTAAAGTTGTGGTTTAAAGTTGACAACACTATTGGATGCTTTAATTGGATGGAACAGAATCCAAAGACTAAAAAGGAGAATTTGAAGGTCAGGAAGCTATAATAAGGTCTGTAAACTTCTTCATTGTATTGATTGATCAGTTTTCAATTAGCCTAGACCTACCTTTTAATCTTCCCCCCCCCCCCCTCCCCCCCATCTCCCTCTTCCCTCGTTAAGAATTAATAACTTTCACCTACAAAACATTGCCACGAAGAACCTAATTGCTTACTTCCTTGGCTGGAGCGCACGTGGGGCTATTCCGGCGCTTAAAGATCGTCTGAAGACAGCTCTATCCTAAGAAACCTTATGCCAGCTCGGTATATTAAGGACTTAAGCGTCCTTTTCAACAAATCCAATCCACGAGATCTTCGGTCTTCTTCGTGATAGTCACGAAGAACAATGCAAAGAAATTCAGAGTCGACTCTATCCCAATATTCTCAAAAATAATCGCTTCATCCACAACAACTCCTGCTAGATTCCCAAACTTTTCAATTTTTCAAACACAAATTCAACTTATTCTTCCGTTCACAAAAATCACAACTATTTCGTTTCTTCTTCTCCTTTATGATGCTTCATCATCTCTGTAGAACATAGCAAAAAAAGGATTATACAAAAAAAAATGATTATGATGATGATGAACTCACGTATGCTAGTGTAATTAAAAATTTATGCTCAGTTGAACCTCAAAAAGTGATCATTTTTTTTAATGAAAATGAGATAGTTTGTCTTTCTCCACATTCGTGTCTTAATGGTACATGATGTCTGGAAAAGCGACACATTTTAACTATCGTTCGTATTTTTTTTGGTGATGTGTATCCATACATATATAGATGCTTTTATCTTCTCTTTCATGGTCCGCTTGAATTATTTTTTTTTTTTCAGATCCCAATTTTGTAGCTTTTAACGTTTATGTCATGTATGTGTGTTTATGTGTACATGTGTGTAAGATTTTCGACTAAACATCTCTAGTCCGGTGGCCTTTTTAATCTTACATGACCATCGCACAAAAAATTGTGAAATAAAATAAAAATGGGTATGAAAGACCTTGGGAAGGTGGGTTTAAAGCGCATTTTATTAAAATTCTAGTTTTACCCATTCTTTTGAATAAACTGGTTTTTAAGGTATCAAAACAATGCAGCTGTATCAAAGAGGCTATTTATAAGATAATTGCATTTAGAATTAAGATTAAGGATATGGAGACGGGATAATATACTAAGGATCTGGGTCAATCATGCTTAAAAAGCGTTAAATGCTACTATAAGAGACAATCTCTAAAGAATGACCAAAAAAAAAGTTTAATTCTGTACGCAACTTAATATTTGAGGAGAAGAAAGTAAGTTGTTTGGTCCAAGGCAGTGATGGTCAACCCATGTGTCGTGACATGTGCGGCTTTGGTCAAAGGCAGTGGTGATCAACCAATGTTCTGCGACACATTAGTGTGCCAAAAAGTTATTTAAATCCTCCGAACCGTGAGCCGTGTGCGACTTTGGTCATGGTTTACTACCAAGGTGTGCAGTGACAAAAAAAGGTTGTCCACCACTGGTCCAAGGCATTAAAAGTACATACTCATTTTTAATACAATCTATAGATCTATTCCTCTCGTAGTTATTAAGCACTAGTACACACTTAAGCAATGCTGTTCATTATAAGTAAGTTACTAACAGACAAACAGATATATAACATCCTTAACTCCACAACTCCCTTCCAAAAAAGCACTCGAAAGAAAAAAAATTCTCCTCTGTATGCTTCAACTAATGAAAAGCTCAACCTTTTTATGTGTTTTTGACTCTCACCGAAAAACTTAAAAAAAGGGACACAGCATTTTTTACTTCTCCTATTCAACAAAAGTGGCAGTGGCATTATGTGACTGATGATATCATCTAAATGTGTATACGTATGGATGAATGAATGAATGAGCAAGCGAATGAACCAATGGAGTGGGATAGGAATTTAAGATGAGAAGAAAAGGAGCAATTGCTAATGCAAAGGCTATAAAAAGTAAGTTTTGGAAATTTTTTACAACTTCTTTAGTCGATTTTCTTTTGGTCGAATTATCTGGCATTATCGAGCTTACACTAA